AAGAGCGGAACGTGTTTTCAATTCCTCTCCCCTCCAATAAAACAACGCCTGGCCCTTCTTTCTTTACTCTCTTTCCATGAAAAAACCCCCAACACTGGCATGGGTTTCACTATTACTAATGCACCCGCATCTCTATATGCATATGCCTGCACTGTCACCCCTTGCCCCGTCCACCCCTCAGGGGTCAGGTCCAAATAAGTCTTTTGGTGTTCATTTCTGGTGGCCATTGGTTGGGTTTGCCACCCTGTGTCCATTCCCACTTCTGAGAGCAGATCTGCCTTGTCCTCTGCGGAAGCACCTACCTACTCCCCATTGTGTGCTATCTTAGTGGGCCTCTCAATCAATGCACCAGGCTAAGCAGCATGTGCCATTCAAACTAGACCAAAGGTTTTCTCTTTGTGGGTATGCCAAGTCCAAGGGCAGACCTCCAGCTGTGCCTTGCAGAGAAAGAACATCAGTTCCCACTCCTCAGGCCCCTAGAGGAGTTCTGTTTCCATCCTAAAAGCGGTTCCTCTGACTTCCCTTTGACCCTTGGGATGGCCTCTGTGTTGCCTTTTGTTTTCCGTTGCTTTACTTGGGAGAAACTCCAGTATATGTAAATCGCTGCAATTCAGGCACGAAGCAATAACTAACATTCATAGCATATTCTGCAGCTTATAAAGTACTTTCACATTCAATTTATCTCTTTTAATCCGCTCTTCTGGAACTGAATTCCCCCCTCTCCCCCCACACTTATTGATCACTCTATTTCTCACAACGGCACATTCTTTCAGCCACTTAAGTTTTGTTTTTGTTTTTTTTTTTTTAAATCTCAGAATGATTTTGACTGGAGGCTTTCAGTAATGCCATGGAATCAGTCATCCCATCCTAAAATACGGGATCTCCCAGAACGATCCCTTCCTTTCCATTTTCTCTGCTTCTGCCTTTGCCAGAGCCTTCCTCACTGCCTAACAATGGTCTGCTGCCTTCCATCTCTAAACCATCCTGACACCACTGGCAGATGGCTGTGACTAAAATTTTACCACCGCTGTGTTATTCCTCACCCACTCAAGGTTGACAAAATGATGACTGCAGGACTATGAGTTCCAGGACATTCCCTCACTTAAATTCTGTGCTGCCTACAAGCAGCCTCCACTCCTCTCTCCTGTCTTACAGTACACTCCACCTTAGCAGAAAACATTTGCTAGAGCAAGTGTCCTCAAATATGTATTAAATTGCACAAAAAGGCGGGGGCGGGGGGATGAGGGCTACTATTTCTTGCAGCTACCTCTCATTAGAAGTGGAGTCATTCTATACCCCTTAAATCAAGGCTGACCTTGTGATTTGAACTGAATTGAGCACTGTGAAAGTAACAAACACAATATAATCAGAGTCCTGAAACTTGCTCTTTTGTTGCTCTGGTATAACATTTGTTACGTAAAGAAGTCCAGTTGAATCCGCTAAAGAATGGGAGGTAGACGTGTCCGTCACCTGTTAACCTGGCCAACAGTCTGATAACCGCCAGATGTAACTGAAGCCCTCCTAGATCACCCTGCCACCGGCTCACCCACCAGGTGACTGAAGAGGCCAGAAGGAATCCCAGGCACATCAGCAGAAGAACCATCCAGCTGAACTCAGCCCAAACCATGGACCACAGAACCATGAGCTTTAGTACCTGCTTTAAGCAATTGCATTTTAGGGTGACTGGTTATATAACAACGGATAACTGATGAAAAGATCTCGGCTGATTTGGCCATTTTCTCAGAATTCCTTTCCAGTTACTATTTAGCATCTTGGGTGCTCAATTATAGAATACCTTCCTTCATCTTTGCATGATTCATTTTTCATGTGTCCTATTTCCTCCCTTCTAAGTTCCGTGCAAAGAGAACCTACATATTATATTTTTATATGCACAAACACACAAAGTGAATACACTATAACCAGGAATAAATTAGTGCATTCCTGGGGCCCAGCCATCATTCTTATCAATTCATAGTCATCATTTGGACAAATATTATGGTCACTAGCTTTTTTTTTAAACTTTATTTGAGAGGGAGACAGAGACAGAGCGTGAGCAGGGGAAGGGCAGAGAGAAAGGGAGACATAGAATTCGAAGCAAGCTCTAGGCTCTGAGTTGTCAGCCCAGAGCCTGATGCAGGGCTCAAGTCCACGAACTGTCAGATCATGACCCAAGCTGAAGTCAGACGCTTAACCAACTGAGCCACCCGGGCACCCTGGTCACTAACTTTTAAAGCTTAAAAGAGAGCTATGATGGAAACGGTCAACTATGAAATCTGTTTATCCGCATAAAGCGCAAAATCATCCATGTAAAGTATATATCATAGTAGAAACCGATTCATTATTGATTCATTTGCAGTAAATTACTTCTTGTAACTAAACCTGCACATCAGTCAAAGGTGTACAAGGATGCGGGAGGGGGGAGGCTGGGTGGTTCAGTTGGTTAAGAGTCCGACTTTTGGTTTCTGCTCAGGTCATGATCTCATAGTTGTGGGATCAAGCCCTGGATTGGGCTCTGCGCTGAGCATGGTGACTGCTAGGGACCCTCTTTCTCCCTCTCTCTCTCTGTGCCCTCTCCCCCGCTCACACCCTCTCTCCCTCCAAATAAATAAACATTTTTTTAAAAGGTGCACAAGGAAGCAAGTATATAAGGGTAAAAGTTTCACAGAAGCAACTGTTTGATTTTCACCAGGATATTACTGTTCTCTGAAGACACATTATTTCTCCTCTGTGGTTTGCGACGGTAACCTGACACGCTGCCAAAAACCAGGTTTCTATTCGAAGAGTGTCACTGATTCTCTTGTCGCCGTTCAATTAGATTTTGCATTTAAAAGAGAATTCCCCTTGTGTTTCTTATAATGATGCACCTGCTCCTTGGGAGATTTCCTCTTTTGACAAGCAATGCCTTAAATCTGGCAAGAGAAACAGCTCCGGGCTTCCTCTGATAATATCAAAGATCATTTGTTTGTATTAGATGTTTGTGTGGGTTTCCCTCCTAAGAGCAGTAAAGTACTACTACACTTCCTTCCAAAACAACAGAGCACACTGAGTTTCTTGGCCTCCGTTCTGCACTTCCCCAGACACAGACACCAGAACCAGGGCCTGGAATGAGCAAAGCTGTGACACAGGACATGGAGACCTTCATCTCCCCTGGTCACTTGCTTTTGGACATGGTAAATGCCAAATCGGTAAAGGCAGTGTCACTTCCAATCTACTATCTTGTAACTTCTCCTCCGGAAATGCTTCCTGCTGAGAAAATGAAATCCATACTCAAAAGTTAGATCCCTTATTTTTTAATATAAATTTTTTTTTCTAACTGACACGTCCACAGACCCTTACTTACCACCTGCAAAAGCACCATCTTTTCCTTTCTGATTCTAGACCTAGGCACTCCTACATATTTGATTATGGGTAATCTTCACTGCAAACTGCCTTTGCGCAGGAGACTTCTGTGATGGAGGTCAAAATGTCATCCCTTCTACAAACAGTTTCAAGAACCCCTTAAAGCGATCTCCCTTGACTCTAACCACGCTGAGGGTAAACTGACATTGAGACGCATCAGGAATGGTCAATAGACATTTTCTCCCAGATGTGAACACATTAGCATACCTCTTTCCTATGCCTAGTCCTCTTTGCCTTTTAAAATTCCAATATGTGCAAATGAAACACAGATTTCAACCCATTCCCCAGTGGGATGTCTGCTCCATAAAGAGAGAAATCGGTTTTTGCCTTCCTGCAGATTCAGCAAGGAAAGTGGTGCCTGCAAATTACGTGTTTAGAGTGACACCTTGGAGAACTGACATGCTCTGCACACATGTAATCCTCATAAACCTCCCCAGACAGCCCTTATTTCATTTTGCGAACTGCACCCTGGCCGGGCTCCACAGCACGTGGTGTGTGGCGAGACTGTCCTGCACCGGCTCTCCCTTCCTCTGGGCTCTTCCTTGCCTCCGGGGTCTTTGATGGGCACTTGTCAGTCAGTGACGGTCAAGAGGACTGAGGAGGCCCAGCCACCAAGCCAGTGAAAAACGGACACCAACCGGAATGCTGCCTTAATTAACTTTCCCAAGGAGAGCCACGTTCCCACAGGAAAAAACAACACGTCCCCGCCCCCCGCCCCCCACCCCTCCAGCGGTCCATTGAAAATGAGCAACAATGCTGTTGCCTTTTTGTCTCCTAAAGACTTTCTTTGCTGCAAGCAGTAGCGTGTTCCTCAAAGAATGCTAGTATTTCCTGTGGAAACTGTATGGCTGCCAGTAATGGCTCATAATTTTCCCCTTCTTTTCTTTTCGTAAAAATGAAATAAACAAAACGTGGCATTTGACAATAGCCAAAATACCAGTTCACCCCACTTACCACCTGCAGATGAAAGTCATCACCACGCGAGAAGGCCGAGGGAGGCACATTCCCGGCTAAAATCGACGCGGAGAAGCCCGGGACGCAGGACAGCGCCGCAGGGGCAGGTCGGAGCCCCGGCTGCACAGGGCAGCCAGGGAGCCCCAGGGGTGCGCGCGGGGCTCCCCTGAGAGGCAGCCACCCCAGGCGTCCCCCTTGCGCGTTTATTATTATCGTGATCGGGTACTGTCGCTGTGACTATTACTTCGCCCCTCGTTATCTCGGCTTTCGGGAGCTGGGGGCACTGCCCATCCTTGCTTGCGAGGTGGCAGCCAGGATAATCACCACACGCAACGGGCAAAGGCAAAGAACAATCCTTTGGAAACCGAGGCGGGGGCTGTCTCCACCCCCCCCCCCTTCCCCGGAGTAAAGCTGCCGCTCGGTAGCCGCCGCCGCCGTTACTATAGAGACCTTCCCCCCAAACCCTTTCTGCAGAGGCGCCGCCGCTGCCCGGGCCGCCGGGACTCGCGGCACAAAGGGGGCCCGGGGGCTGCGGGGAGCAGGGGCGACACCCGCCGGGGTCTCCTGGTGCAAACTTGGAGAGGCTCAGCCGCTCGCCGTCGCCCCCCTCCGCCTCCCCGCCGCGCCCGCCGGGGACCTGGACTCACCCGGGGCGCCCCGCGCGCCGGCGGCTCGGGAGCGCGGACTGACTGACGGACGCACGGATGGACGGCGGCGGCGGCGGCGGCGGGAGCAGGAACCGCCGCAGCGGGAGCGGGGCGGGCGGCGGAGGCGCTGCCGCGGCCCCGCTACGTCACAATGCGGCCGGGCCGCCGGCGCCGCTCCCCCGGCCCCCCAACGGGTGCGCGCGGGCGGGGGCAGCCCCGGGGCGGCCGGGCGCGGGGAGCACGCGGGGCGCACCGCCCAGGACCGGGGGCGGGGGGGGCGGCGCGGCCACGCCGCCGCGCGCCCCGCGTCCCCCCGCGCCCGCCCCCCGGGCCGCGCGCGCCCCGCTCCGCCTGCCCGCCGGCCACCCTCCCCGCGCGGCCCACGCCCCTCCCGCGCCGCCTGCCCACCCGCCGGCCGCGGTCCGCGAACCTGCGCTCCTTCTCCACCTTTCGCCCGTTCGCCTCTGCCGCCTCCTCCTCTCCCCAGCTGGGCTTCTCCTCTCCTCCCCTCCTACTTTTTGCCCCCGCTTCCCTCCTTCTCCTCCGCCCCCCGCCCGGCGGCCTCTCCCCCTGGAAATGAAATCGCCCCTCACCGGGATCCACGCGTCAGCCGCTGCCACCTCATTGGTCCCCAAACCAGCCCAGCGGTCCGGCCTGAACCGGGACAAGGCACTCGGGGAGGGGAAACGGAAGGTGGGCACGGTCCTGGGACACTGCGTCGCCCGAGAAGTCGTTGGCAGAGGAGGTGGCGCTGGCACGGAGTCCTCGCCCCCACTCCTCCCCCCGCCCCGGAGGCGCGTCCCCTCCAGGACTCCGCCAGCGAGCGGGGGACAAGGGGGCTTGGCCCGGAACGTGCTTTGCTCAAGCGTGGGTGCTGGATGGAGACTTGGGTCTGAAATAATGGCTTTTGAATTCTACAACGTTTAACACACCACCGTCCCTACAGGAATATTAACTTTATTTTAGCGGCTTTTTCTTAATGGGAGACGGGGAGGGGGTGGGGGGACGGTGGGCAGCTGGAGAGGCGTGCGGGCAAGCCCCCACTGGTGACTGCCTCTTTCCTTCCTGATTTCCGAAATGAAATCAGGGAGAGTGGAAGCATTTATGGTAACGTTGGCTCACGACCATCTCGCTCTTGCCCTTTGGAAGGCTTTAAATGGTTTTTAAGAAATCTCTTTCCCAGGAGAGATGACTCGGAGAAGTTCACTCAGCCGAGCTTATTGAGGGCCACTCTCTGGCTCCAGGGTGTGGCTCCTTGCCTGATGCTGCCCCAGAGGAAAGTGTGAGGAAGCAAGTTCTCGTCCATCCATCCTCTTTGTTCCCTTGCCAGGTCCTAGCGAGCAAGAGTGGCGCCACGATCCTGGGAAACTCAGCACTTAATCTGGGTTAATGGCACTGGGGATGTGTAGCATGTGTGAGCCTGTCATTGAAGATACATCATCGATAATATATTTACTCCATAGAATAATGGTAGTAAATTATATATTAATGCCACGTAATACTATACTATTACATATGTTCATTATAATATAGATTCAATACATAACAACCAGAAACGACCTGGCTATTTAAAAACTGGGGTTCTCTGGGAGCGCCTGGGTGGCTCAGTCGGATGAGCGTTGTGAGACCTCAGTTCAGGTCATGATCTCAAGGTCAGTGAGTTCTAGCCCGGGGTTGGGCTCTGGGCGCGAGGCTCAGAATCTGGACCCTGCTTCCAACTCTGTGTCTCCCTCTCTCTCTCTCTGCCCCTCCGCCACACATGCTCTGTCTCTGTCCCTGTCTCTCTCTCATAAATAAACATTTAAAAAAATAAAAACTTGGGTTCTCTGGATGGCTAGTGTAACACTGCACATGGTGCGTGTGGAGTCCCTGGGCTGCTCTGTTGGCCGGAAAAAGGCAAATTGTAGGATTAGGAGGACATAGCTCAGCAATCCTGTTCTGGACCTGGTTTGGACAAGTACAGTAATTACTGAAATGAAGACTACCTTGAAGGCCAGCAGAAGACATTTCACATGCTTTTAATTTGATTTCCTATTGAAAAACTAAGTTTCTCTCTCTCTGCTTTTTGACATAAACAGCCAACAGTGTGTCCTGGAGTGGCTGTAATTTGTTTACTGTAATTTATCATACATAAGACTTTAACATACATGGAAAGTGGCTTCACAATTTTAAAAACACACATTATCCCTCAGTAGAAAGTATAAAATCAGATGACATCATATAGCACTAAAAATACTTGAAAATATTGGGCTTAATTCATTCACATCTGGTTAGAATAAAAATACTTTTTTTGTGTTTTCCTTTTTTTTTTTTTTGGCCTCGTATAAACTCCAAGAAAAGCACATCTTACTTCTATCCAGTAGATATGGATGGAAATTGGTGCCATCCTTGACATGGTCTAGAGAGAGTATAGTTTCACTGCCATCTCGTTAAATATTTTGATGTGCTGATTTTTAAAAATCAGATTTTAATTTATGGAAGAACTAAATTGTTGAAGAATAGTAGATGGACATCTTCCCACTGCCCTACACATCCACTAACTCTAACATGAGTCAGGTGTTAATTTCATTTAAATGGTTCCACAGAGGGGCCTAAGGTCTCGACTGTGTTGTAGGTACAGAAAATGGGTTTTCCCAGGGAAAAAAAAGTTCTGTTTTTGTGCAGCCTAAGGAATAGCATGCCACAGTGTGAAAAGGCAGTCTTTGAGATGTTGTTTCAGCTATTTTCCCGTTTGCTTTTTTTTTTTTTTTATAGTTCTTTTGTTAGGGTTTATCCTCTTTCTAACATGTTTTTGATTACATGTTTACCATTGTTTCCATGTGATTATTTTTACGCTGTGATTTAAACCTATGCTTATATATACTTTCCTACATCGTCTATGAGTTTGCTTTCGCTTGGATTGTTTGTTGGTTTGCTTCTCCTGCACAATCTGTTGCTAAATCCTAAACCACATGCCAAAGTGCAGAAGTAGTGAAGTAGTTGGGTTGGAACAGAGCTGCTAGACTGTAGGATGACAAGAAAGCCAGCTTCCTCAACATCACGTTGGCTTTTTTATCAAGCTCATAAACTACTCTGCCTCGTTTTTTCAATTGCTTATTACCAACCTGTCTCTGATACTCAGTTTTCTAATCAAGCAGCTGCCTCAGTAGGCTAGTTAGTACCAGTGAAAGGGCTTAGCAACCACAGCTACTGGGTCATTTACCCCTTTTAAGAATACTCCCACCCATGTCTAACACCACACAAAATGTGCACATTTTGGAGGACCATTTCTGCTTCATGTCCACTTCTTATCCCCTGTTATTCAACTGTCACATTCCTTCAAGATACCAGGGAGTTCATATTACTCATATTTCGATCTTTAACATTGAGCACATTTTTATACTCAAGAGTTAACTACTGAAAATAATTAGTACAGAAGTGCATTTCACTGTATATCATTTGCCAAAGAGCTGACATCTAATTGTTCATTCAATTATTACAATTAAATATCTGCCTCTATCTTTTTACCCAGTTTCCATTATATATCTTTATTGTGCTACAAAAATTGATTAAACCTGCTATAACACTGTCAGTGATCAAGCAGAAAATCATTCTCTTCTTTTCCTATTCTTTCAATGTATATTTTTGCCTTCTTTAAAAATTTTTTTATTGATTTATTTTGAATGCACACGAGCAGCAGAGAAGCAGAAAGAAACGGAGAGAGAGAATCCCAAGGAGGCTTTGTCAGCACAGAGCCCGACGCAGGGCTCGATCTCATGAACCATGAGACCATGACCTGAACCATGAACCAAAATCAAGAGTCAGACACTCAACTAACTGAACCAACCAGGCGCCCCTCCCCTTGAGTATTTCTTTTCTCTCTTCTTAGGGCGAGATTTAGCCTTTTGCTTCATCTTAGACTTCTAATAAACTTAGAACTGGGAGGGAGATGAAATTCAAATCCAGCAGCTTAGCTGCTTATAATATAGCAGCTTTAATAAAAGATTTGGTATTGAAAAAACTTTATGGATTGTTAACCTGATTCACTGAGATTATCCTGGGATTTCAATTAATCCTGTTACTATGCTTTACCTATCCTTACAGATCATTGGAAGTTTTGTTGTCGGTATTTTTAAATGGAAACAATAAAATCTTGTGCAAAAATATGATCAGATGAAGGAGAGTGTCTTGATGTGTTCTGAGACAGCTTGAGGCAAAAATACAAAAAGACTCTACCAGGGGCAAAGGGTTTGTGGGGGGGGGGTTGTAAATCAACTGATTGGGGGCCATGATCTTTCTCTGTTTCTCTTCCATAGTGAGCTACCAACAGAGAGCACAGTGAATCTGTAAAGCCCCTGAAATACCTAGAGGAAGTCTGGGTCCAAACTCTACTCAGGCAGGCAGTATGTAAGTTTCATGACTGGATTTAACTACATTTACTTTAACCCAATAGCCAGAGTTTTGCAGGTTAGCACTTTATTCTACCTGAGGCTGACTTGGACTCACACTTCACCTGCACCCCTGAGAGACTCTCTGCCCATTCTTGTAAAGCTTCATCCAAAAACCTCCAGTTTTGATTTAAAAGTAGGATTTCCTCAGCAACCTCACCACAGTGGATTGGTCTCTTTTCCCAAGGATTCCACTCACGTCGTCTTTAATAGGTCACCTTCTCCCCAGATACTTTTTTTTTTTTTAAGGTAGACTCCACGCCCAAAGTGGAACCCAATGTGGACCTGAACTCAGGACACTGAGATCAAGAGCCAGATATTTCACTGACTGAGCCACCCACGGACTGCATTTTTCTGGATACTTTTTATGGAAAACCTTTTCCCCCTCACAGTGGCTTGTTGCCTTCAGATCTGTTCTAACAGATGCCTCCTGGGTTATATCCTATCTCCTTATCTGTCTACTGGCGCCTCCAATCTGAATCAGGCTACCACCGACAATACTAAAATGTGCCTGAGACTTGCGCTTGCAGAAATCAGCAATGGATGAGCAATGCCCCCACCTTTTCATGTTCCGGGAAATGGCTTCCCCCAAAGA